AAACCAGCGACAGTTCTGCGAGCGAGGGGCAACTATTAATGATAAAACATGCTAAAAATTAGAATGACAGGGAATTTCTTCCTAATTCTCTCCAGGGAATGAAACATGAGTATAGGAGGTAGATCTAATTAATAGTGCTACTGAATTTTTTATACTAGTGCTTTACTTCATTTCTTAGGTTGTAGGGAAATTCTGACAGTCGATTTTTTTACAGAAAAAATGTTTCTGGCTAGGTGCAAGGGCTTGTCTTTACCACTACTGGCTTGCTTCATCCGGGGCTTAGAAAGCGAGGGTTAACAGTAAATGATTATGCAGTTGGCGTAGTTCATTCAAGAAACGCATTTTGGAGACATTTCTTTCCTTGAAACAAAATTAATGTTTTTTGAAGATATGGCTATCATCTGTTTCGAAATTCGTATTGGCTTGTACCAAATCAAAAAGCTCAAAAAAATGTGTTCGAGAAAATGCGGAAGGATAAAAAGGTATTTTATTATAGAGCTACTCACAGTGTAACAAATGTGCTATCGTACATCTTTAAGAAAGCTGAAATACGATTTTTGATCAGAATTTAACATATTTCTGTTTTAGTATCCGCAAAAAATTGGCAAATATGACGTGAAATATGTGCGCGATTTAACAATTGGATATGACAACGAACAGGCTGGAAATAAGCCAGTTAGTTCATGAATTTTATCGCTGAATTTTTGATGTAAATTTACACTGAATAATGAGCTTTGGTACCGACAGTGGAAATTTTCTTAAACTTAGGAACAAGCTTAGGTGAGCCCGATTCCTTGGCATGCACCAATTCCAGTTTTATCATTCGAATTGGCAGATCCTAGAAGTACTAGTTTTCCAGTTGTAAGTTCCACTCACTGACCTGAGCTCAGCAGTCGTACCATCTGCCTTTACACTAATTCGCTATCGAATAATAAAGTTGTCAGCCGTATACAAATTTAAAACGTAATGATTTAAACTTTTTTAACCTCCCTAAGCTTTTCTTCGCCTTATTTCATATTTCATTTCTTCGAAAAAAACTACTTGGCATCTGAAAAGCAGAACAGTAAACGTACCCACAAGTAATTGTTAAA